TTTTAAAAATTTACACTTTTAAATATTTTTTTAATCTCAAAAAACTCTTAAACAGTAAAAATTTAAAAATTTTAACTCCAAACTTTCCATAAACTCTCCTTTTACTTACTTTTTATTTACTTTTTCACCTTTTTAAAAGCTAAAATTCTATTTTTTTTCCAATAAAAATTTAAACTTATCACTCATAACAGTACTCAAAAAACAAAAACTCTCACAAACCACACCAAACAGGTTCTCAGTATGTCACAATCTGTCAGGCCCCTTACCCAAGGACACAATTATCACGGTCGGTGACAGCTTGAACTTTAATTATACTTTTCTTTACCACGTGAATCGTGATGAAAACAAATGCTATGTTTTCTTCTCTCCATCTAAGCTAAATTTCTCTCTTTGGTCATTGGTTTTTAACTCAAAGCATAAGTTGGTCCTCAACCTTCACTGTGTTAATTTTGCAGTTCTAGACATTCTTCTAGTAGTCATTAAGATTTCAAAGTTGGTGCAATTAGTGTTGTCAATGAGTTTATTACCCGACTTGAACTCGAGTTGGATTCAATTTTATTCTGAAATCAAGTTTGAGTTGAAAACTTACCATAAAAAATTAAGTAAAATCAAATACGGGTTATAATTTAAATTTGATTTGACTCATTTATATTAAAAACTAAATATATATAAAACATTGAAAATTTTAATTTTAATTTAATTTAAATCCTTTATTAAATTTGAAAACTAAATAAAACTTATGAATCAAGTTCAAAATCAAGTTATTTGAATTAAGTTGGTTTATTATTGTACCGTAACATCAAGTTATATTTGAGTTTTAAGGAATTTGACTCTAATCATAATACTCATATGCTTAAAAATTTTAATTTAATTAAGTTTGTAAATTATAAATTATTCATGAAATGCAGTATACGTCTTAGATTTTAGTGTAGGTCAATAATACATAAGAAAATTAATATAATACCTAGATCAATAATAAATTTTATGTCTAAATGACATAACATGAAAGTGTAAAAAATTAAAAAATTAAAAAAATTATCTCTTACACTTCAATTCAAAATTAAAAAAAAAAAAAATCTAGTTGTAGTTAATGAAGGAGATTTTACTAGTGCGGTAGCCCAATTATTCCTCGATTTCAACTAAGCAAGACGGTCAACACAGTAGGATGTGGGAAAGATTTTGTACAAAAAAA